ACTTTTGGACGTGTAACCTTGGATGGAGGTACAACCGAAGGACTGGTTGGTCGGTGTTGAGTGAGCCAGCATATCGTAGGAGTGGTCGTCTGATGACGATGGGGATGCGCAGTGAGCGCTATAGTAAAGATACTGGTTGTGGGGAATCGTCGAGAGAGAATGAAGGGTAGTAATAGATCTCCGAGGACAGTAGGATTTCACACAATTTGGCACTTCCTCATCGCAATATTATATGTAATCAAATGAAGGATGAATATAGTATGAATATGTTCTTTACAGCGGCTGGCACTGAAGAGAGATGGAACGCGACAAGAGCCCTGAATGCTGTTGTAGTCCGCAATCGTGTACCTAGGTGGCTACTTTACACCAACACACAATAGAAATGCAATAGCCACGCACGCAACGTATGCATCTATTAAACTATTTGCACTCGTCTCAGCACAATAACTCTTCGAAATAGTTGGCCGTATGCCACTTATCCTTACTTGCTTATTGTGACAATAGCAATCTTTTCCCTCTCACTTCATACCTATTGTGCGGCGCGAGGACATGCCTGACGCCTAGCGTTGTTCCCACGAGCTTCTCTCACTTTTGACTCACAATCCCTATTCCCACAAACACCGAGTCCGTATCCACACCGCCAAGCCTCTGGTCGATATAAGATCTCAGAGTCGGAGCAGCTGCCATCCTTCTACCTTCTACCTACTACCTTTAATCTTCTACCTTACATCTCACACATTACGACCAACTTCCACTCCACCCACTCGCCCGCCGACCACTGATGCCTGGATTCCAAATCAAAATGTGTCTCAGCATCAACTTCTCGCCCAGCGCATGGCAAGACCCTCTCTCCATTCAACATTCTTTCATCGAGTACATCCGCGAAGCTGCGTACAAGTATCGTCTCCAATCAGCCGCTCACTACAACATCCCTATCGAAGTATGCCAAGCCACCCATGCCTCGAACCCAGATCGACTTGCGGACATCGACAGAGACTTTATGCTTTACGTGGGCTTCTACAACTTCGGCACCGACCCTGTCTTCGCCGTCTGTCGCCCGAAAATCGCGAAGCGTGGACGCGAAAAGGGAAAGGTCGTCAAGGGAGCTGTGCAGGTGTGGATAAGGAACAAGTTCGTACCAGTGGTGCGGTTCTTTGAGGCTGAGTTTCCCCCGGTTGATGGGCCAGTGGCCGACGAGATCATGTACCAGTGGTGGCATGCCAACGGTCACACCTTTAACTGGACCGGACTGCCTACCGAGGTCAAAGAGCGAATCCTACAGTTCTGCATGCACCAGTCTCCGCCACTACCTGTTCAGAAGAAGTCCAGGGGTCGGGTCCGCCATATCACGCAAGGTGCACCTGAGGTCGTCGGTCAGCTGGGAAAATGGGCGTCTCTTCTCACCGTGTCACATCAAGTCCGCGCTATCAGCTTGCGTCTGTGCTTCGCGGGAAGCAGCGACTTGGAGTTCAGCAAGGGACTGTGCATCGTTGCTGAGAGCGTGTTCAGCTTCAAGCGCAGCATTCGCAGACTAGACAAGTATCGTCAATTGACGGAAGTGAACAGTCTTCCGAACGACGACAAGAACTGGGAGCTCGAGCAGACGTACAAGTCTTTTCCGAAGCTTTACCCACACCTGAACCGATACGCAACCTTCTACCATGGTATCCGAAAGATATACCTCCAACTCTCCTTCATTGACGGCCTATATTTCTTCAAAGTGACCGCTGGTTCTTTCGCGCAGCACCTAAAGCCACGTCAACTCAACTACGAAGTGTTCGAGACAATTCCACACTTGAATGAGTTGATATTCAAGCTACCAGATGCTACTGGATATCTGGAAGACGATTTCCGACAGCAGCCAGTCAGCATCTTTTATGGCGAACCATTCAATTGTCCCCGTACCCTGCACCGACTCATCTATGAGAGCGCGGCTAAGGTTTTGGCCCCGTACAAGGTCGTCAAGTTTCACGGGTTCATGGACGAGGAAGAGCAGGTTCGATTCTTGAAGCTCCGCGACGTCGCTAAGAAGAGTTTAAGGATTACTACTGAAGAGCTGGAAGAGCTATACAAGGAAGGAATGGGGGGAATAGAGCTGGGAGAAAGTGTTGTTCCTGGCGTTGAGAAGAAAGAGGTTGTTGAAGAGGTGCGCGATATCATCTATGATGAGTTTTGGCCGCCTAAGTGTCGCTGTGAGAGGTTGTGCCGAGACGTCATTCATTCGAGCTATGACTGAGAGCGAGGCAGCTACAAGCCTACCACTTCGTGTTCAGAGCCTTATCATGTAACAGCCGGCTGAAAAACATGAAAGCTGATCCGATGAGGAGCGCGGAACCCTGTTGATTATCAGTGCTTGCATGGGTCATGTGCCTATACTTAGAAAGCAGCTTACCGAAAACACAATCAACCATCGATACCCATCCTTTGTGTCGTGATCTGTGATGAGTGCGCCCCCAATAGGCGTACCAACAAGACTCGCGATAGCGATAACGCTGTAGAAAGCTCCAATGCGCGCTCCCAACTTGTCGTCAGGTGTGATGTGGCCGATTATCGAGGGCGGAAGAGCAGTGACATTGCTAGTCAAGAAACCGTATACGCAGACAAAGAAAATAAGAGTAGCCATGGAGTTGCCAAGGAGCCATAGGAAGAGACAAAGGCAGCCAGAGATGAGGGTAATGGGCCAGAGTAGGTTCAGCCTGCCAAGTCGGTCTCCTATGAAGCCTCCAAAAGTTGCGCCGATGATGCTGGAGCCGTTCAGCATGCACAAGAAGTAGTCGCTGACTTTGTTACCAGGGTAGACTGAGTTAGCATATGGCTTAAGATAATACGCCGGGATCCAAAGGCCTAGTATAGCAAGCCAGGTTCCAATGCATAGTACGGCATAGCGTGTGTCGAGGAATCCTTTGAAGTCGATAAGCGAGCCGAGCCCTTTGCGATCCGGTTTGCCACTGGGCTTGCTTGTAGAGATACGTAAAGCAACTAAGTAGCAAACACTGAGACAGTTAGCTGATAGAAGTCTGATGCGGCGGCTGTGACATACGCTATCTTGACAGCAGCCAGGCGTAGCGAGTTTGGGAAGCCCAATCTGGGCAGTAGTTGATCGAACATTAACGGGAAGCCAATCCCGCCCAGTGCCGACCCTGTAGATACTAACCCCATAGCCAAGGCACGTCGCTCTTTGAAGTGCTGGCCAACTACCGTGACTGCTGGCTGTACGCCGAAAGCAATGGTAAAGCCCATCAGCAAGCCTTGCGTCATCAGAACCAACCAAAATTGTCCAGGGTGTATGAACGACAGTATGATGAGGGCCAGCACAGTGCCAGCGCCTGAGCCAAGGTAGAGGTTCTGACTATGGTGTCAGTCTTCTTCAAGGAGTGACGGGGACGAGTACTAACCGTAACGCCATATCGATCGCAAAGAGCACCAGAAAGAGCAGCCAGTAAGTTCATGAGCGCCATTTGAACCGTCCCAATGAATGCGATAGTCGATGGTGGCGTCTCTTTCAGAAAGTCGCTGCTATAGTAGTTCTGGAAGAAACCAAAGCTGTTCATAACCCCAAAAGAGGCGTAGTACACCAGTATGGAGCCGAAAACCGTGAGCCATGCCGCACGCCCACCCTCGCGCACCTGTAGCTTACACGATTCGGTATCCGTACTGCTTTCGGTGTCGTGACGTCCAAGGGTGTCTATGGTCTTTTCGGTCATTGCGTAGACGTTGAGAATGGCGGGCTCAAGGTAAAGATAAGAGGTTGATCTGCATTCTTCACCGGTCCTTCCTCCAGCACTATATAGGCTTCGTTACCCTCCCACATAATTTATCAACATAACGAGGTCTAGTGGAAGCCGAGCTTGCCAGGTCATGAGAGTACGTCGGAAGGGAAGTACCGTTTACGTTAGCCGTTCTACCCATAGCCCCAGTATACGCTCTTTCTGTTGGCTTGGTATGTACGTGATCGTCATAAATCGTGTCGGAAATGTGGGTTCGTGAACCTTGAACTCATGAAAAGGTTGGCATGATCGTCATAAAGCCAAATGCTGTCACTATTGACGGGTCGGTGATCGATTTGAGCATGGCTGCTGGCGACGTAGCAAGAGAACTGGTGGATACGTACAGCTCGGATGTAGCCCGAGACGTTACGTGCGGAGTGTTTTCAGGCTCACTGGCAATGACGCCTTCGACGACAGTAGACATGTCATCTCGGCTGCGGTATGCCTCTGGTGAACATGACTCCAATGAACATGCTAGCCGCTTTGTGCTACACATGACGGAATGCTATTGGACTACTTGAAGCACAGCTCCACCTGTGTATTGACTGATGATGCCCAAGAAGCCGATCGTTCCTGACAAATAAGTAAGCTGGCAAGGTCAAGATATCGTGCATCTGGCATGATGGTCGCGGCCTTCGTCTCCTGTACGTCGTTCATGAGCGACATGCCAAACCTGTGTCTCTCGTTCAGTTGCACAGAAAAGTCAGATGTAATCTCTCCTTAATGTGAGGACTTGGTCGGCACTGTAATAAGCGGTCTCTTTCGCCGAAGTTTGTGAATGAGCAGGGCCGGCCGGGGATGTTGGGAGGTTATTACTGTCGCAAGCCAAACGTTCACTGTTATCCGACCAGGCGGTTGGTATGCAGAAGGATTTCAGCAAGATCATGAAGTGTTTCCACGGCGGTTCTGAAGAAGAAGTGGTGCTAAGTCCACACGGTTCAACGTTCCAAGGATCTCGTGGCCTCCAGGGCTCGCACCCTGCAGACAGGACGCGACTCCGGAATCGTCAAGAACGGCCGCCCGTTGAACAGTTTTGAGACGAAGGGTATGATTACGAGTAATTTGGGAAGTTATTTCGGTCTCTTCAAAGGTGGTCGGCGTTGTACATGCGGAGAGCGGGCTGTGAGTCCGGATGGAATCAGGGGATGAAGGTGCGATGGCTCACCTGGGCACGGGTCGGGCACGGAAATAACTACTAGCGCGGCGCTAGTTCGGAAGTACAGCAAACCAGCCATGCCTGCACAGGTGCCGACATCACTATCGCATCTTACGAAAGCTGGCACGGTACATATCAGGATGGCCGACATCAAAGAGCCCCAGGCCACGATGCCTGCTTGGTTCGAACAAAACCCTTCACACGACCATGTTCCTCCCGAGACCCAGCGGCTTCTCGAAACGTGGAGTGGAATCCCATCAGATGACGTACTTGATCATGTTGTCCAACTTCGTGAGAAAGCCTGGAAGGTTCATCCATATCCTTGCATTGGGCAGTTTCGGTTTCTCGATCCCAGTTTCTCCGAGCTCCCGGATGAGCGCAAAGAGATTGTTGAACGCCTACGCAAAGGTCAAAAGCTGTTAGACATGGCTTGCTGCGTCGGCCAGACTATTCGTACGCTTGCGAACGATGGAGCACCGACTGAAAATCTATTCGGTTGCGACCTACTACCGGAATTCATCGACCTGGGCTATGAGTTGTTTCGGGATCGAGAGAAGCTCAAGACGAGATTCTTGACAGCGGATATCTTCGACCCTCAGTCAGCGCTCACGGATATCCAAGGTCAGATGGATATGGTGTATGCAGGGTCATTCTTCCATCTGTGGGGATACGAGAAACAAGTCGAAGTCTCCAAAGCCGTTGTCGCGTTGCTACGCCCTCAACCAGGCTCTACGATACTCGGTCGACAGGTCGGAGCCACCGAGCCCCTCGAGAAGGACGGTCCTACAGGCACGATGTATCGACATAATGTTGAAAGCTTTCAGAAGATGTGGGAAGAGATAGGCAAGGATCTCGGCATCAAGTTCACCGTGGATGCCAAGCTCAAGCCGCTGGGTAAAGACCATCTCAAATTCCATCTGGACGACACTACAAGGCGGCTGTGGTTTGTCGTACGCCGTGGATAGCGCGCTTCATCTCTACACACCGTTCAAGGAAAGCATTAGACGCCGATTATCAATACATGACCTAAAAGTCTACGTTGTCTTGTCGTTTCACTAGCTTTCGTCGTTGTACTAATGTGGACTACGGACTACAGCGCACACATTCGCTCTCTTCCTCGCATAATTTGGTTGCTTCCTGGACCGTTCATGAGAATACTCAAACCAAACTTTCCTAAACCTTCCTATGCACCGCTGTCGGTGCGTCCGCCTCGGTCCGTACCTGATCAGGCATAGACTTTAGGTTATTCGAAGTGTCTGGCCCGCATCTTCTAGTACAAAGCCGTACAAATAGCGTGGATTCAGGAAGTCAGATCAGATCTATATGCATCTTAGCGAAGAGCTCTAATGCAAAGTTCCGCACCAAGTGGACATTGTCGCTATTTTTGCGCAGCAGCACTAACATATTCGCTCAACGCAGTCTAATTTTGCCGGGATTCGTAGGGATAAAGGGTCCAACTACGGCAGCCCTGTCCGCGCTTTACTTTAAGCCTAATTCCCCATACTTTTCGATATTTCGCCTTCAATTTCGAGAAGGTTGCTGATTGGCCAATTCACTCTCGGACCGTAACATCGGGAAAGCCACCTGCCTGGCTGCAGGAAGAAGTGCAAACTTCTGCTCGGTAAACATCAGTCGATCAACATCTGCCGGCGGGAGACGGTCACGTTCTCGTGTTCATTTATAGCGGTAGCAGGAATGTACGCGTTCTAGCCCATCTTGACCGAGCCAGAACACCGAGGCAGACAAGGGGTCTGTGGTTCATCTATCCAAATGAAATGCGAGATGCAATACTCAGCTCAGCCGCTTCGTTAGTGGGAAAACGTTGCAGTCGCAGGTATAGATATTGTCTATAAGACACGTACGTCCAGCATCAATCCCGGTACTAACTCATCCCCCCGAAGTCAACTTTTAGCCAAGGCCAGAAACGACATTATGAAGTTCTCCATATGTTTTGCGGTAGCGCTCACTGCGAGTGTAGAAGCGTCTAGTCGCATAAAGAGGCAGTTTGGATATCCTGATGGTATGAACTCGTTTCGCACGAAGACAAAGCAGTCTAACACCGTCATTAGTGGAAGATTGTGGATTGGATGCGTTTGAAGGGCATACGTCTGAAGCGGCACTCTTCTGTAGCAACATCCTCCGTTCGGGAACCGCAACTTCTACCATAACCAGTGGCGTTACCACCACCACTACTACCACTCGGAAAACCACGGTGACTGTTCGCCCAACACCTACTTCTACTCCAACACCCAGCGCCACCCCTAAACCGACGCCCTCGTCTACGCCGAGGCCTACATCGTCATCGACTCCAACGCCTTCTTCGTCTTCGACGCCCAAGCCGTCTTCTTCTCCAACACCCAAACCATCCTCTTCGCCCACTCCTATACAGCCTTCTTCCACGATTATTTCTTCGACTCTCGTCTCGAGCCCATCTCCGTACGTCCCCGTAGCCCAAATTTTCGCACACCGCAAATAGCTTACATCTCCACAGCACGCCCACAGGCACACCAAGCTGCGGCATTGTAGCATACGTCAAGACCACGCCAGCCTACTACTTCGAGTCCAGCGGTACGAAGAACACGTTCCAAGCCTGTAGCGCGCTCTGCAAGGCCGATAGCAAGTGCCTGAGTTTTGGCTACGGTGAAGCCAACTGCATGCTTTTCGACGTTACTGCGTGAGTCTAACTCCTGTGCGTAGTCCCAACCTCTTGCTGACTGTATTCGTAGTATCGACAACACCAACTACAATCCCATGAGCCCGTACACATTCTACGATGCCGCATGCCCCGCAGAGCTACCGGTACGTAAGCGTCAACTGGACATCTCGCTTGGTTTGCCAGGGGGCATCCATATCTCGCTTGGCCTCGGCAGCGGCGAGATATCCTCTGCATGCTCGTGCTTCATTACGAGGGGCCCAGCTAGTACGACAGTCACAAGGACAGTTTCCAGCGCGGTTGTCAGGACGAGCACTGTGACCAGCACTGTCACGAGAACGAGGGTCCCTGGTGCTGAGTGAACTAGACCACGGGAAGGAAGGACGGGCTGTTGACGAAAAGACTGAGATAGTGTTGCATATTTACTTCATTGTTCATCGCGTGTCCCCTTCCTGTTTAGATTGTCAGATCCAACGTACTCTCTGAACTCAGCATATCTCCACGGGCTTCTGGCTTGAATGCCTTTCTACCACCCACGAGATGCATGCGTGCTACCATCTCACGGATGGTGCTGCAGCTGCATGGCCGCGCATCAACTGCCTTGATGGCCAGACTGGACATCGCATGGTCCAAGACATCATGATCTGCGAACCATTCGTCTTGTTCCAACTATGCTGTATGTCCCTCGTCTTCCTGACGATGGCCCTTTGCACATTTGCTGAAAGCAGCTTCATTGCGTATGTCACAGCACGGCGGTCTTCGGGTCGTAGGCGCCGGCGCGCTCGACGTGATAGTTGTGCTGCTACGCGATATGTCTGGGGTTTTCCGTGAAATTGCCGTTCATATTGAGTCTATCGCGCGGGGAATATGGTCGACATTGGAGGGCTGGAGATCGAGGAAGGCGTTGGGGAGAGAGAATAGACTATGTTCTTAGCTGTAGCCTGTCAGCGACTGTACGTATAGATGCGGTGGACTATATAACATACTTTGTGTAGGTCGTTAGCGTCGCAGTCGATACTCAACGAGAACATGCCTTTGACGATGTCTCTTCTCATTGTCCAGCGCGCATTTCAGAGAAGTCGCGCTTCGTCGCGAACGGGAACGCGTCAAACGGCTTCACACATCGCGACCGCAGCGTAGCTGCAGCAATGACAACTCAATAAAGGATCCATTGATTTCCTAGTTCGGCTTTGGGGTCTGTCGCACCAGAGATCGACCAAACGATCATCGTACGGCGTGTACATGGTAGACCGTTGATCCCCGTGTGGATGAGGGGCGACACCAGCGACGAACAAAAGCTTAGCTCAGCCCCATCTACATACAACCTTCCCCCAACCAACCACCCACCACAAAACCAACACATCCCCCACAATGGCGCATTTCTCCCAAATCACCAACCTAGCCGAATACGCCGCCTGCATCAAAGCCACAGCCGGAAAAACCGTCCTCTTAGCCTACTGGCCGGAAGACGAAACCACTAACGAGGTAGCCACGGCCCTGCAAAAGCTACTCCCGTCAACGTCCTACGAACAGTACGATGTAGTCGACATTTACTGCTTCGACATGTATTCACTGCCTGATCTCGGCAATATGCTAGATGTGAGCTTTGTGCCGACGCTGATGTGGTTTATGGATGGTGTTATGGATGCGATTGTTTGGCATGAGGGGTGTGCGATTGAGGGGGAGAGTGTGGAGAGGGGGGTTAAGAGAGTGGTGGATAGGATTAAGGGAGGGGATATTGCGGGGGAGGATAGTGATGATGATTGGTAGATGGGCGGGGTTTGGAAGAGGAGGATGAAGACTTTCTCAAGCCAGAAACCTCTTGGAGAAGCACGAAGAAGCCTGGAGACGGATATTGCATTTATTGAGTACCGGCTTGATAGCAACTCCTCTCGACTCCGTTACGATCCCTGGAAGCAGAATTGTTCGACATGGAGCTCGGGCCAGTGCGGCCGCCTTGGACTTATGCCACGGAGTTCTGGAGAATAGCCTCTGTTCGATTGACGTCTGTCGACTGGAGTTTATCACTGGCAAACAACACATCTTGGTAGGTCCTCATTCTGGCCAGCTCTTTCTATCAGCTTTCTTACAGACACCAAGCCAGTCGAGCCTAGCTTGCCCCTCTCTACAGTATCAATACTAGCAAGAGTTGCGGCTACCATTCTACTGTTGAAGCAATCTATGACATTGAAACACAGGCTCCAATTTGTGCTTTCTGAACTCTCAGTGACTGCACCATTCTGGCTCATGCTGGCCTTCGCAAAACATTATAAAGAACTACTCTCTGCTCCAGCTCCGTGACAACCTCTGCCAACAAGCGGTTTGCTTTACCAAGTTCTAGAAATCTGCGATCTGGACCCAATTGAAGCCATACAAATACCATTCCCCCACTGCCCTATTTCTACACCATATCGACCCTTTGCCTAGTATTACCCGGATATTCGCCTTCCCTACACTATCACCCAAACAACAATGGCGGGAAGCAACAGCGAACAACAAGTACCCCTGGATGTTTTCCTCCGAGCGATACAGCTGAAGGATGAAGAGATTGAAACCATGCGAAAGCAGAAGCGCGACGACGACGCAGCCCTCCGTAGGGCTCAAGGGAGGATTGCTCAGCTTGAGAAGGAGATAGCAATACATCATACATCGTCCTGGGCAAGAGGGTCTAAGACTGATCAAGGAAAACAGAACAGCGATGCGTCTAGCCGTTCTTTCGCTGATAAGGTAATGTCTACTGCTGACGCTGCCATTGGCAAGGCGCTCAAGGGCAAACAACCAGTTATGCCGACTACAAAAGCATCCCTATCGTCCAATGAGTTCCAAATCCCCGGCAAAAAAAGGAAAAAACATTGGTACAATTCCTGGCAAGAGACCAACATGAAGAAAATGCAAAGCAATGACGAGCTCATTGAGATGAAGCTCCCATGTTTCGACCCTGATTTCAAGCACATAGGCATTGCACGTCCAGTAGAGAACCCTGACGATCGGCACAGAAAGTGCTACCATTGCCTTCAATCGTACGAACGCAAGGATATGTGGGATCACTTGGATGTCTGCTGGGCTTTCTGGAAACTTGCCGTGCGCTGTGGGCGTTGTAACAAGATCTTCAAACTCAACGACGCGTTCTTCCTTCAGCATGAGCGTGAGTGCCTGTCGCACTTGGGTGTTACTCAGATGTGTAAGAACCATTACACGCTGGCGGCGGATGCTAGGGTATGACGCGGAAGTCAGGAATTGTGGGCTTCGACCTCATAGTGCTACGTTTGAGGACCTTACCTGAATAGGAGGGATTACGAAGTCAGTAAAATG